CTCTGCTCCTCATCCCCACCCTGGCCAGCACAAAGGCAATCCAGGAACTATGGTGGTAGTGCCCCAGGGAACAAATCAGAGTCTTAGTTCAACATTACTCTCAGTATCTATTCCACTGTTGCTATCTCTGAGTCTTCTGTAAAATGTTCTAGTTTAGTTTCAATCAGACTTCGGAAAACTAAAGGAAATTATCCAGCGATTCGTTCAGCACAAGGTGAATCTAGTAGAATACTAGGTGAACTGGTAAGATCAGGCGGACCTTTCCCATAGAGATTGTCTCCCTCCTCCACTGCTGATGTTAGGATGATGAATTTGATTTATTAAGAAGGCATTTTTCTTTATAGTGACCAAGACTGTTAAACACTGGTAAATATTTTCTACTTCATCCACAATGAATTCTTATTATATACATTTAGAAAGCACTTTCATGCTGTATTAAAATATTGCTAGAAAGCACATGGTATCTTAAAATATTTTAATACCACAAAGATTATTTTTTCTTTATTCATGCTTTTTATAAATTATAATGCTATTTACCACAAATAATTTTATCTATACATGATCAAGATCTTACATCATGTCTCATCTCCCTTTATAAAGGGAAAAAAATTCTTAATTGCTTCCTTCTTTAAGGATTTAAATACATAAATAATATAGAATAATAAGTAGTCTCCTTTGAAAGTTCACTTTCTAATTTAGCAATAAAAAATTTCTGGCATTCATTCAAAGTAGAATTTTTACTCCACATAGTAATTCACTTTCAGTAACTTACTATGTACATCTATCACAAACATGAATCAAGAAAAGGAGCACAAAGAATTATCATTAATTTGTAATTTCATACTCCAATGCCTATATAAGAGTATTCAGAAAAGAAACTGAAGGATAATTTAAATTGAGAACAGGTAAGAATCCACTTGCCAATGCAAGTGACACAGGAGATGCGAGGTTGATCCCTAGGCCAAGAAGACCCCCTGGTAGGAAATGGCAACCCATGCCAGTCTTCTTTCCTGGAAAATTTCATGGACAGAAAAAACTGGTGGGCTGAAGTCCATGGGGTCGCAAAGAGTTGCTGAGCATTCATGCAATTGATATTAATATACAGAAACTCTGACAAACTAAGAACTAGCTTCAAATGTTATCCAACCAGCTGGTAATCAATCTCACTGATTTAAAGAAAAGTCCATCACAGTGAAAAATCTGAATACTTATTTTAAAATGCAATTTCTTGTTTTTAGATATATATGGTTCTCAAGTAAATAAAATTTCCTGAATCATATCAATTCATCCAGTATTATCTCTATAGTAACATTATTAAGACAAGTCGAGAGCACGATAGTTTTTTAAGAAGTTAATCTCAAAAATGAGATGTCTCCAAAGCATTCCAAGTGTTAATAGCCACAAACGTGGCTGATCCCATCTGTATTTTTAGCCTGAGCGTCCAACTAGAACAGCATCTATGGTAGCCAGTCTCAAAAGGTCCTGGCCCCGAGCAATTTCCTTCTCTCTGTTCATGCATGCTACTCTTTTTGTCTACAGGGAGAGATTATTTTCCCTCCCTCTGACTCTGGGTCGGCCTTTACTGTCTTTGACCAATAGCTCAACTTCCAAACCTAGGACTTAAGAGAATTGGCCGGCTTCTATTTCTTATCTCCTGGAATGCTCCCCCCCTTCTTAGAACCGAGACACCATGCTTTAAGGAAATCCAAAAGAAGGCCATGTGGAGAAAGGAGAACAAGAAGGCCTTATTGCCAGTTGAACTCGAAGACAATCGCCAACCATGAGAGACTGTGGCCATTTTGGGCCAGCCACGAGAGACTGTGGCAATTTTGAACATTCCAGCCAACACCAGGCAAAACAGAAAATGCACCAATCAATGAAAGTTTTATGTTTGTTACGCAGCAAGTTACCCTTTACACTGTTTCACTTATCTATCAATAAAAAAACTATTTTATACCTCCTGAAATTATTTCATCCATGTGTCAAATTTTCCTAGTTCTAAGATCCTGGGACCAGTTTATCCTGTCCATTTAAAAATAAATTTCAAATCCATCCCTCAACCTGTCATATAAATAGATAAAATACCGAAGGATAGACAGATATAGATATAGTACAGATATTCAAAGATAAACTTTAAGTCTAGACCATGTGTGAATTATGGTCAGATCTGAATCGGTCTCACTAATAAGGTTTTATTGTAAAAATTAATCAAATTAATACATCAATACAGCAGTGAGCAAAATTCATAAAAGAGAATATCTATTTCATGCTGCTATTTTAAACAAAATTTTATATTTTCTTAAACTGTAGAAATCAGGGCATCCTGTACAAAAATTGTCATTCACACCTCACAATTGAGGGAAAGGATAAGGACAAAATAAAGCCAAATACTATACAAAAATTTCAATCTGATTAAAAGGACAGTCTTTTCCATGTGTACTGTGCATTAATTACCAGGTGCAAGCACAAATAAAATATCTTCCTATCTCAAATGACTAAGTAAAGAAACATGTTATAACAGGGTAAATGGGACCAAAGGCAGGTTGTGACTTAGATTCATAATAAGACTGTTACTGAGCTGAAAAGGGCTTCCCTGGTGGTTCAGATGGTAAAGGATCCGCCTGCAATGCAGGAGACCTGGGTTCAATCCCTAGGTTGGGAAGATCCCCTGGAGAAAGAAATGGCAACCCATTTCAGAATTCTTGCCTGGAGAATCCCCATGAACAGAAGAGTCTGGCAGGCTATAATCCATGGGGTCTCAAGAATCAGAAACAACTGAGCGACTAAGCACAGCACTGAGCTGAAAAAGAATACCAAATCTTTAACTCTCCATTCCGTTTCAGTTATTAAGGTGTCATTCCTGGTGACCCTTTTCCAGTTGACCTTCTCTCAAACATCAGCCGTAACAGCAGGCAAGGTCAAAAATGAAAATAACTAAAATTGAAGAAAAACTGGCTTCTCCTTATGGAAACTGACTCAATATTTCATAATGTGTGGTGTCCCAAAAGCTTCAAACTACTCATGGCCATCTCCAGCTCCAACTTTAACTCAATCAGGAGACCATTATCAAAACAACTCACTGGTACAAAGCAGAGATCAACTGGTTGAAAATGTCCCTAGGCTGAGGTCTATCAGGGAGTAAAGAAGATGATCTCATAAGGTCCCTTTATGATCTGTTAAAACCACATTATTCCATAAATCTGACACGTGTCAAGATTAGGATTGAGTCAACCTCTAAGCAGAAAAACAAAAATCAGCAGCTGTCACTTTTCTTACTTAAATTTAGAAGCTAGCTGTACATACAAAGCAACTTCATCTCACTTCTGAAGTCCAAAACAATTCCGAAGCCTCTTAATATTTTAGAATTTCAACATTGGGCAGAAACTCAAGAACTTTCTTCAGGTCTAATTGAATTTTGTTAAAGATACACTTGAACTTTAGGCATTTTAGAAAGCACTAATACAAAATAAATAAAGTTATAGTAATTTTGACCAAACTCTGAAACGATATTCTTGTAAACACAGCAGTTTAATTTAACCTAAATTCATTTAGGTTAGTGTCCATGGTTTGTTTAGATTTGTTTTGGTATCTAAGGCAAGGACACAAAATAACAACTATCTAACAAAAGAAATAAAGATTTGGAGTGACAGGTTACAATTACTTCTGAAAAAGCAAATAGACTGCAAATAATATCAATGGTCCCTATGGACACCAGTTAAGACAGAAAGAAGTCTATGCACCCCATCATTCTTTAGCTGTAACCACAAAGTCTGGTTTTACATCTGGGATATACAAATGAAGCATCAGATTAAATGCATCAAATAGCTATACAAACTTGCTAAACATACACATATCAAAAAAAGAAAAACATGATACAAAGTTAAAGAACTAGACTCCAAGGGATTAAAACACACCCACAAAATCGAAGTTCATGCTTTGCTTCAACCTAAAACTCCTAAGTAACTACTAACCCTGACATTTCCTATTATTCTCCACTATCTGCATTCCCCCTTTTATCTCCTAAATTTCTCCAGTGATTTTATTTCTTCTTATGAGTCTTTGGATGTTAATCTGCATAGCCTTTCCATTCCCCAAAAGTGATACTGCACCTGGTCTCCACATTTTACTGTCTCTACAATACTGCATTAAGTTTTGTTTTACCCTATTAGACATTAATTTTGCCCCTAATCTCCTGTACCTAGGTTTCCCTAACCAGTGAACTTCTGTCTTCTTTCAAACTAGAGGATGTATACCCTTTCCTGATACTTGTAATTCTGGCATCTAGTCAACCTCTTCTCTTTCCCAAAGCCTGTCATCACAGTCCTAGATCCCGGTCCCCAGTCCTTTCCTTCCTAAGTAAGGCCTAGTTCTTTCCAGAGTTTGTCAACATTAGTTTGGCCAAGCTGGGATTGTACCTTGAAGTCAAAGGCTATCTCTTCCACCTCACTCTACAAGACTATAAGTCTCCCACCAGTCCACTCTCTGCTCTACTTTAGATCCATCCGCATCCAGCCTTGCCCGTTTTTCCCACCCACCTCCCACTCCCAGTATCTCTCCTCTCACTGTTCAGCGTTCCCCTTCCCCACTACTGAATGCACCTCTTCTCCAGGGCCTCACCCGTAACCCTCACACCGGCAAGGCCCTGCCAGCGGCCTCACGGCGTCTCTTCTGGCCTCCTCAGCTCTTCAGTAACTGTCCCTACGCCCCTTCCTCTCCAGGGCCCCGCGCGCCCCAGAGACCCCTCCCCGATTAAGCTCCCGCTGTCACTTGGCCTCTCATCCGCAAGATGGCGGAGCTGCTACCCCCACCCCCGGGTCCTCTCCGCAACCCCTCCTACCTCCCAGGAGCTCCCGTCCCGTCCCTCCAGCCACCCCCGCCGCCAGCCTCGGCCCAGGGTCTCGCTGCGCCCTCCTCCAGCGGACAGGCGGCCCAGGCCCGAGCCTCAGCGACGCCGCCAACGCGCCGCCTCCACAGTTCCCCGGCCTGCACCTTCTCCTCACCATAAACTTGAGCGCTTTTTCCTGCAGCACCGCCTCGGCCGGGTCCATAATCGCCAGGGGCCACTGGGTCTGCACTCCGCCGGGGCCGCCCCCTTGGTGCCAGGCCGCAGCCAACGCAGCGCCCGAATCCCGCCTCCTCTTCCTTTCCTCCGCCCTCTTACCTCTCAGGCACTGGCAGGGGGGCCAGGGAGGACAAGTTGTCCTTTGCGCGTGCGTATTGCCCGCTGGCTCACGGGATTTGTGGTTCTGGAGCTTCCTGAAGCAAAAAGTGACGCCACACCGCGAACTGCAACTCCCGCGGTTCACTGCGGTAGGGTCGCGGTGGCTCCCAAGCCAAATCCAGACAACTGACCGTCAAGTAGAGAGGATCAGCGTATGGGAATCGTAGTTTGCAGCCTCTAGAGCTGAGAAACGGGAGGGGCATCGGTGTCTCCGTGGTTACCGAGCGACGCCAGTGGCGATTTGCCTGGCAATTGATATCAAGATGGCGACCAGTGCCTCACCTGTAGCCCAAATGCTGGAAAAAGCTGTGAGAGGACAGAGACGCTAGGGCCTCCCTAACTTGTTATAGAGAACTGGACCCCCCCTACCCCCCGCAATTTCCTATGTCTGGCGTCTGAGGGACGGATTTCGACTGAGACGCTGGTCCTATGGTCACCTAGCAGTAGCTTCATGCTGAAATGCAGAGTTTCAAGGTCCTAAGTCATCGCGCCATACTTCCACCTTATTCTAGCCCACTATAAGTCAGAGTCTAATAGAACTCGACTCAGGAAATTCTCGGGTGTTTAGCACTCAGAAACCATAGCCGGCTACTGCTAACCCTGAGATGTAAGCCCTGCATTCAGGGTTAAATGGGTACTTCCAAAAGGTCTTTAATGGTGGGATATAATGGCCATCCAGCAAATAAAGCATGTAATATTTAGTTTGGCCTTAAAGGGGACTGTACGAATTTATTTTGGAAATCAGCTTACCGTAAAATGCGAAAACACTAGGGTTGTGCTAAAAGTGACAGACTTGTACAAAATATCAGAGTTTATAAAATAAATAGGGAAATAGCTTTTCGTTTATAGGGAAATTTTCCACTGTATATTTTATTCATTTGTTCATTCAACGAACAGCACATATAACCGTGTGCAGATAATTATGCCCGACAGATGGGGATTCAGTAGTGAACACAATTGACCTTATGTTGACCATAAGGTCAACACAATTGGTCTTAAGTTTCTAGTATGTTGATACTTTGTCCTACTCATCCCTATGTCCTCAGAACCCACAATTTCCTAATATATAATAAAGTTAATTAAAAGTTATACTCTTAAAAAAAAAGTTATACTCTTGAATTTTTTTTTAAAGGGACTTCCCTGGTGGTCCAGTGGCTAAGACTATTTATTCTCAATGCACTGAGCCCAGTTTCCACCCCTGGTCAGGGAACTAGATCCCAAATGCCCCAACTAAGAGTTCACATGCTGTAAGGAAGATCCAGGTGCCACAACTAAGACCCAGTGCAGCCAAATAAATGAAAAAAAAAAAAATTAAGGTATACTACTATTGCAAAATGAAGACTCAAAATGCATTCATGTGAAAACTACCTGCAACTTTTCATAGGCAGTATGTGATATGGTTGCCAAAAAAGCTAAAGTTTGAAAGTTAGGCAACTTAAAGAGAGTAGTATCTGGGGAATACAGTTTTATGGTTTTACTCTGTTTTGAAGCATTAAGACCACACCTGGAGCACTTTGTTCAGTTATGGGCACCATGTTCTGTAAACATCTTATGCAGGAGCACAGCCAAGGACAAGATAACTGAAAGAGAAAATATTGATAAATGACTACTCTGAAAAAAGAGTACTTAGGAATAACATGGCAAATAAATTCAAGTATTTTAAAGTATTGAAAGGCATATGTATATAGCTCTATAGGGTAAAGTAGGACACCTGGATGGGATAATAATAGTGATGGTGGTGATGATGATAACAGCTGTCACTTTATTAGCTCTTTGTGACTAGGTATCTTATATTCATAATTTCTAATACAGAGTAACTTTGTAAAGCAGGTATTATTATCCCTAATTTACAGATGAAGTAAGTGAGACTAAGAAGAGATAAGTAACTTGATCAAGTCACCCAGCAAATTACATCATCAGGATTCTAACCCCATCTGCTTGACTGCAAGGCCTGTGCTGTTTTCACTGAACTACACTGTAATGACACAAGACTCAGATTCATGCTTCCTAATAATCAGAGCTGTCTTGACAAAGGAAACAGAGGCAAGATGACCATGTTGTCTGAAAATAGAGAGGCAAGATTGTCTAGGAGAGTTCAGTTTGGGTGGGAGGTTAACATCCTTTTAACTGTAAAATACTGTTGAGAAGTCATTTATTTTACTTTAGGTGTTAGTTACTCAGTCGTGTCTGACTCTTTTATGACCCCATGGACTATAGCCTGCCAGGCTCCTCTGTCCCTGGAATTCTCCAGCAAGAATATTGGAGTGGGCAGCCATTCCCTTCTTCAGGTGATCTTTCCAAGCCAGGGATTGAACCCCAGGTCTCCTGCATTGCAGGCAGATTCTTTACCATCTGAGTCACCAGGGAAGCCCTTGTTATCCGTAGAGAAGAATGAAAATATTGCCCAATGAGATTGGCATTCTCTTGCTTTGTATGGTTTTTGCAAAATAGATATTGGTTTGCATGTTAAATTTTAAATTCACAAATGAACGCATATAGAATTTAGAAAGATGGTAATGATAACCCTATATGCAAAACAGAAAAAGAGACACAGATGGACAGAACAGACTTTTGGACTCTGTGGGAGAAGGCAAGCGTGGGATGTTTAAAGAGAGCAGCATCGAAACATGTATACCATCAAGGGTGAAAGAGATCACCAGCCCAGGTTGGATGCATGAGACAAGTGCTCAGGCCTGGTGCACTGGGAAGACCCAGAGGGATCGGGTGGAGAGGGAGGTGGGAGGGGGGATCCAGACGGGGAATACATGTAAATCCATGGCTGATTCATGTCAGTGTATGGCAAAAACCACTACAATATTGTAAAGTAATTAGCCTCCAACTAATAAAAATACATGGAAAAAAAATTTTAATTCACAAATGTAATATTGTTATGTATCTCATTGTGTTTCATACTTTCTTCACCTAGTACCTGTGGTTTTATGATCCATTTACATTGCTATGTACATCAAACATGATGCTTCTAACTGAATAGTCTAATGGTGTGTATTCCCCACAGTCTACCCATTCACTCTCCCAGTGAAGACTCCAGTTCCCAGGACTTCCCTGGTGGTCCAGTGGCTAAAGCTCCATGCTCCCAATGCAGCAGGTCTGGGTTTGATCCCTGGTCAAGGAATTGGATCCCACATGCCACAACTAAAGAATTTACATGCTTCAACTAAGACCCAGTGCAGCTAAATAAATAAAAAGACTCTAGTTCCCAATAACACTGCAGTGATCAACTTCTTACATTCTTCCGTGAATGAGAATATATTTGGGAATACACACCTAAGACCGTATTTGCTGGTTCATAGGCTATTAGGGACACTTAACTGGACTGCGCCTACAGCTGCTAGGTCACATCAGTCCTGTCCGACTCTGTGCAACCCCATAGACAGCAGCCCATCAGTCTACTGTCCCTGGGATTCTCCAGGCAAGAATGCTGGAGTGGGTTGCCATTTCCTTCTCCAGTGCATGAAAGTGAAAAGTGAAAGTGAAGTCGCTCAGTCGTGTCCGACTCTTCACGACCCCATGGACTGTAACCTACCAGGCTCCTCTGTCCATGGGATTTCCCAGGCAAGAATACTGGAGTGGGTTGCCATTGCCTTCTCCATTAATTGGGCTATATAGAGCCAAATTGCAATACAGAAACACCAGGACAGTGTACACCTTATCACACTACTCTACCACACTCAGGGTTACCAAACTACCAGCCCCCCTTTTATTTTGCCAGTGTGTATATTTTACTTTGTGCAACTCCAACCCACAAGGATCCTGCCCTTCGTTAAACTACTCTGCCCCTCTTACCCTCTGCAGTCTGTACTTATAACACATAGCAGGACAGAGCTAGAAATATTCTACACATGTCTGCTTTCTGTTCATCCCATTGCCATTTTTCTCTCAACCCTAATTGCAAATAAGAGTCATTTGAGGAAATTTATTAAAAAAAATGGTGCCCAAGCTTTACCCTTAATTTAATAAGTCTGTGGATTGCGAGAGCTGGCTCATTTGAAAAGACCCTGATGCAGGGAAAGATTGAGGGCAGGAGGAGAAGGGGATGACAGAGGATGCGATGGTTGGATGGCATCACCGACACAATGGACATGGGTTTGGGTGGACTATGGGAGTTGGTAATGGACAGGGAGGCCTGGTGTGCTGCGGTTCATGGGGTCACAAAGAGTTGGACACGACTGAGCGACTGAACTGAACTGAACTGAAGCCCTTGGAAATGGTAATTTTAGAAAGTCCCCAGGTGGTTCTAATCTGCAGCCAGATTTAAGACTGCTGCCTTGAAAAAAAAAAAAAAAAAGACTGCTGCCTTGGAGTCTGGATGCTCAGTGCCTTCTTGCTGACCTCTGCTATCCAGATTCCCCTCTAAGCCTACCTTGCCTTCCAAAATCTAGAGCTATTCAAAAATCCCCACCCCCATCACCACCACAATCCTCTGTTTTCCAAGGTTCCTCTGTCCATGGGATTCTCCACGCAAGAATACTAGAGTGGGTTGCCATTTCCTTCTCCATGGGTTTCTTTCCCAACCAGGAATCAAACCCAGGTCTCCTGCATTGCAGACAGATTCTTTACGAACTGAGCTACAAGGGAATCCCTAAGAACAGCCAATCAAAGCTGAAAGCTAAATGGAAGTAAAGTGATCAACTGATTAAATATTCATCAACTATTTGAATATCTGATAGCCTTAATCCTAGGTCAAGAGGTCCTGTGGAGGTAGGAAGGTTATTTGTATTTCAGTTAGCAGGAAAGATACTATTTTAGCTGGGAGCTAAAGAATGTCCCCGTCCTGTCTCCACCATCACCTTACTTCCTTGTCCTCAT